AACTTAATATTTAAGTTAAATATTTAGCTAGCTACCTAAATATTTAACTTGCGAGCTAAATATTTAAGTTAAATATTTAGGTGTTTAGCTCAAAACTAAATATTTAAGTCACAAGTTAAATATTTAGCTTGTTAACTAAATATTTAATTTGTAAGTTAAATATTTAATTTATAAACTATGACATTTATAAATGTATGAATCATATGGTGAAAAACTGACTTTGAAAAATAAATCTGTTCTTTTTTTCTTATAAAGGGCTAAATAAAACAAAAATATTGGTGGTAATTTTTGACTGTGTAACTTTACAAACGGCACCCCATACACTGGTACCAAACCTCTTACTCCTTACACGAAGCAGACTGAGTAAATCAGTGTTCCATTAGTATGTTCATACTTACTAACTAGCAATAATCTTCCCTTTCTTTATAAAATGCATAAAACTGAGAAATAAGTGCTCTTTTAGCATTATGTCATTTACTTACTAGCACAAAACGTTGGACTGTTTCACAAAGGACAAGACAGAAATAAGTGCTCCATTAGTTTGGTCATACCTTTTAAGTAGCACCAACTTTTCACTCTTTTCACAAAGCATAAAATTAGAAAARTCACTGTTCTATAGGCCTAGACCATTTTGTAGTTACAAATGTGCAATGCTGCTGAGTCACACGTTATTTGTGATAAACGCTGAGGTTGCTGTGGAAACACCACTGGAATTAAACAAATTAAACCAATTCAAATTTATGCTGTTTTATAGACTCGATGCATAAATTGATTTATGTTAAACTTTCCTTTATGATCAGAGGTGAGATTTTTCATATATATCTTTAAGCTGCTTTTTGAGCTTGTTTTGGAAATGTTTTTGTTGCCACGATTCAGAGTATATTGTTATGCAAAGATAATGACTACAGAAGTCCAATTAACTTTTTGATGATTTAGTAAAGGACGTAGTGGGTACCGGTTGGATGTAAAATAATCAAATATTCTAAATATCTTGTGGTTTGGTCAGTTCATCTATGTGGGTGACAGCAGATAAGAATAAACTGAAAGACTAAACAACAATGATAGTAGTATTTGTATTCTGTTGGTAAACACATCCAGTTATGTAAATCAAAATCATGTTAAAAATAAAGTCACAATTTACAAAATTTTATTTTTACAAATAAAAAATAAAAATTGCACTTTCTATCATAGACTCCATGCATTAGCACTTTTTCACCTTGTCCAATGTTTTCTCTGCCATAATTCACAAAGAAAAAAAAATCTGATAAATGTAAAGAAACGTAGTCACATCTGTCTAATTTAACAACAATGCCTGTTTGTTTATATCAAATAAGCCCTGACCCCTACCCACAATGCAGTGCATGCAAAAAGCTACAAAATGGCCTAAGTCTTTACACAATGTATAACGCTGAGAAATAAGTGCTCCATTAACATGCTCACATATGCTAATTAGCACTAAATTAGCACCAACAAAGAAATAAATGCTATTATAACATGGCTAATTTGCTAAGACTGTTTTTTTAYGTCTAAACTTTGCTGTTGTTAAATTCTCAAGAGTCCAGTATAGAAGAAAATTCTTAGCAATAGCCAACTGCTAAGCCTTTTGTGGCATTGTATCATCTTAAAGCCAAGTGTTTACATTATTTTTCCACTCAAAGTCAGAACTATGAAAATACCTCTTTTTCTTTTCAAGTGGTTAATGAAAATACAACGTATGTGAACGCTAAAACATCAGGATGTGGTGGCTCTATGGGCAGAAACGAAACATAGTGTTTATCCTTGTGTTTTTATTCATGGGAAATAAGAAATGATCACACTGAGGGTGGAAATACCTCCATCTGTTGCACAATAWCGGTCAGCCTCACTGCAAACCACAACCTACAACAATCAAGTTAAATTAGCACCTTCTAAAGAGGATTCATTGCAGGACGGATAAGTTAGTCTGTGAGCTGCACCAAGTGCTGGCTGAAAAACATAAAMCAACCCTAAACGTGGTGATGTCTGCAAGTGGCTCACATCTGTGTAGAAAAGTTACTGATAACATGAAGTCAAAATGTTGTATG